TACCCATCACTATTGCCTCTCGAGAACTTAAGTCTACTTTGTATGATGATAACTTTCTGGTCCAGGTATTGGACAGACTGACCAGAGATGTGCAGAGGAGATCATTAAATGTGTTAAGGTTGGAGGCAGCCTGGGCTGAAGTGACCACACCCTGGTTGAGTTTGTGATCTCGAGGGATGTGGGCCTGGCAAAGAGTGGCATCAGAACCCTGAACTTTGGAAGAGTGAACTTTAAGCTGTTCAATGGGCTGTTGTCCAAGATCCTCTGGGATGCTGTCTTTAAAAATAAATATTTGAGTAGAGCTGGCTACTCTTCAAGGATGCCTTCCTGAGAGCACAAGAGCTCTCTGTCCTTTTGAATAAGAAAGCAGGCAAGAGTAAGTAGGAAATTGGCATGGCTTGGCAAGGACCTACTGGACATGCTGAGGGCAAAGAAGGGTGCGTACAGACTCGGGAAACAATGGTGTGTCGCCTGGGGAGAATACAGGGATGCCGTCCAGACTTGCAGACGTGGGATCAGGAAAGCCAAGGTGCAGGCAGAACTGAATTTGGCGAGGTACGTGAAAAACAATAGGAAGACTTTCTACAGGTACATTGGCCAGAAGAGACAATGTGAGTGTACCTCCTTTGGTAAATATAAAAGGAGAACTTCAGCCTGGAGAAAAGAAGGCTGCAGGGTCACCTCATTGCAGCCTTTCAGTACCTAAAGGGAGACTACAAATCAACACTTTGAAAGGGTAGATAACAGAAAGACAAGGGAAATGGTTCTAAGTTGAGGGAGGGAAGATTTAGTTTGGATGTCAGGTGAGTTGCTTTATTATGAGAGTGACGAGGTGCTGGAACAGGCTGCCCAGAGAGGTTGTGGATGCCCCATCCCCAGAGGTGTTCGAGGTCAGCTTGTATGGGGCTCTGGGCAGACTGGCCTAGTATTAAATGTGGAGGTTGGTGGCCCTGCATGTGGCGGGGGGGTTGGAGATTCATGATCCTTGAGGTCCCTTCCAACCTTGGCCATTCTGTGATTCTATCTCCTGCCACTGTCTCCTCAAAATTACTGGCTTCAGATTGCCATATGTACAAACTATAGTTGGCAAGACAATCCATCTGAAGGCAGTGAGTAAGGTTAGATTTTCACAGGTACTTGTTGATTCACAGAGCTGCTGAAAGCAATGAATGAAACTGTTGAAAGCAGCTCATATTTCACAGGTGGGAGTCTTTTCCTTTATATTTTCTGTAGTAAAGAGTGCACTGGATTCTCCACAGAAACATAAGGATGAAGATGTTCTCCATTTGCTTTTCATTTAACATATCTTCCCTCTAAATCAGAGATTTCAAGGCAAAATCTATCATTCAAGTACACTATGAATTAACCATGTACTTTGGAATTCAGTGAGTTAGTAAAACCACCAGTGTATGTACTTCTCTATACTGTTTCTTTCTTCATCTGAGAAAAATATGAAACAAATGTTTGTTTGTTTGTTTTTCATAAAATTAATCACTCAGATGTAATTCACCCAAAGCTGCCAATAGCGCCTAGATTCTTCATTTGACTAAATTGCTTCATGAAAACTGTAATGGGAGAAACTGGGTTGTTTAGAGAAAAGAGAAGTTAGTTATGTGTGACCTGGGGAGACTCTTGGAAATCTTTATTAATGCAGCACAGGATGTTTATAACGAAGATAGTATGAAGAGGTAGAAATTTCTGATGAAAACGAGTAAGCATTTCATTGTGGAAATTTCATTGTGGAAATTAATATGAATATTCAGTAAGCAGTGTTATAGAAAAAGCATTCTACAGTTCAGGAAAAAAGCAATCAAAATCAAACTAATAAATTAAAAAATTAGGAAATATAGTAAAATAAAAAAATGGGAAGACAGAAGGGGAAGAATGGACACATTATCATACCAGCCATTCAGTGTTCTCTTTGACATCATTTTTCACCTAAACATTGTGACAGAAAAAGCTGAAAAAAAAGGGAAATTGAACAGTGATAAATGTCCTTGTTGGTAACCTTGACAAATATCCCTACCTTCTAGAATTTCAACCTGCCTTATGAGATGCCATCACTTCTCAAACAGTTTCTTGCTTATCCTTTATTTTCTCAGGGATTGAATTCACTTTTCCATTTCTTGCATTTTTTTTTTTCCTGCAAATTTCTTCATTTCAAGCTCTTGCTCAAACTTCCTTTGAGGTTCAGACAGTCAAGCACAGCTATTTTTGATAATTTCAATATATATTTACTATCAGATTTTTGTTTTAACTTGCAGTCATAGTAAGCAAGTAATGATAGGATGGGTAAAACTGTTTATTTGCTCAGCCAAAATTCAGCTTCTTCATTGCTGTGATAAGCTACTCATTTTCCATGCTGATAGATCATTCACTTATAAACAGAATTATTTTTTAGAAGAAACAAAGAACTGGGTTTACTGCCACCTCTTTATAATATAACCTCTTTTGAAAAGTCTACCAAATGTACTGTCAAGGTTAATTTGTATGAGCATGATTTGGAAATGTACTGCAGGACATTAAATTTCCTGTATGAATTCTTCTCCATGGACAGTCAACTTTCACAAACACAAGGGAGAAGAAAGGGTGAGAGAGATTGTGAATGAAAAGTAGAGTAAAAAAAAAAAAAAGAGAGAATATGAGATAGATGAGTTAAAACAATGGAAATAAAAAAAAGATTGATTTTAGCCACAATTTTAGCCTCAGAATCTTGAGTGAGCAGATGTGAAGGGATTTATTTTGTAGTGTCTGCAAGATATGCTTCTTCTCAGTATACATTTTTTGTTTGTTTGTTTGTTTTAGAAGGGTGTCTCTGTTCTATTTCTTCTTAATCCATGGTGCATTCAGTAATTCTCTGTTACTGGAGATGGTTTGAACTTAGCGCGAAAACAGTGAGTGAGAACAAAGGAAGCTTTGTTATGTTTATTTTCATACAATTTCAGATTCTATTTACGGTTATACTATCTCAGACCTAACTGCAGTACACTGATATACCCATACAGTATATTCACTGTGAGTTACTAAAATTAAGAGTAATTACATGTGCAACTGAAAGTTTCTGATTTTCTCTCGTTTTTCTAAACTTGCTTTTGAATGCATACACCTTAATGGAAAAATCCAAAAGGTTGACATTAGCAAGCCATCTTCAGTTATTACAAAGCTTTCACTTGATGACTTGCTTATTCTAACTGTTCTGAATTAAATTCTGCTAGTAAAGGCAGTTGGTACATGGAAACAGAACATTAACTCACTGGGGCCAGATTCTGACAGTGCTACTCCCACTGAGTAAATATCCTTTATCCAGTGAATTTCATTGTGGAAATTAATATGAATATTCACTAAGCCAGCCATTTACTTAAGTGGAGAAATTCCACTGGTTAAAAATCAGTTTTACATTGTTATTATTCATTGTTTTGCATTACTATATATTACTTTACATTGCTGTTATTATAAGCACTATTTGTTTGCTATATATTGGAATATTTATAGTTGGAGTGGGGGGTATTTTTCTTGAAAAATATTTCCGTTTTCCATTCAGCTCTAATTATTCACTGTATATCAGAGCACCCAAGTGGGAGTTCTGTTTTGCATTATGCCAGGAAATGGGTAAAAATAACTAGCAAGAGAACTCACAGAGAAAGGTTTTAACTTGGCAAACCATTTAAGTGTACACCTCATTTAAAATATGCAATTAGGCCTCTCCTGGAAACTCCAGATTTATTGCAGGAACTGGGTCTGAAATGCAACTGTTCTGTGCTTCGTAGGACTATGGTATCTTGTTGCTTGGCATAAATTAGAAAAGCATCAAACTATCACAGCAGATATTTATGGCCTGTTATAATCTGAGATGATAACTAGCAGCATTCAACATGCTTTTGGTACAATTGTGGAATCATAGAATCATAGAATGGCTTGGTTTGGAAGGGACCTCAAGGATCTCCAACCCCCTGCCACATGCAGGGCCACCAACCTCCCCATTTAATACTGGACCAGAGTGCCCAGGGCCCCATCCAACCTGGTCTTGAACACCTCTGGGGATGGGGCATCCACAGCCTCTCTGGGCTATTCCAGTACCTCACCACTCACTGTGAAGAACTTCCCCTGACATCCCATCTAAACCTTTCCTCCTTGAGTTTAAAACCATTTCCCCTTGTCATATCACTATCTACCCTAGTGAAAAATCAATTCTGCTCCTTTTTGTAATCGCCCTTTAAATACTGAAAGGCTGCAATGAGGTCACCCTACAGCCTTATTTTCTCTAGGCTGAACAAGCCCAGCTCCCTCAGCCTGTCTTCGTAGAGGAGGTGCTCCAGCCCTTTGATCATCTTCTTCAATCCACATGCAGAAAAGAAAAGACAACATATTTTATGAAGATCTCTTATGGTAAAGATATCGCTCCCTATATTCTATATGGCTGAAGTACTCCTTTAAACTGCTGAAGGCATTGGAGAGCTGTTGGTCAGTGTGAATTATATTCTTACATAGTATATTCCATGCAGAAGAGGAAGAAGGAAACTGTTATTTGTGTAAAAGTACTGAGAAATCTTTGTCTGTAACTTGATTTTCTGAAACTGTATCTGAAGGCATTTAGAATTCAGTAAGTATTGACTGAAGAAATTTAAGTAGCCAGAATAATTGTCCTGGGAACACTGACCACTTATAACACCATCCTCCCCATTTAATACTAAGATAATACTCATATAACTAAGATAAACCAGTCATAAACCTACTAAAGCTCCCCCTTGAGCATTTAAGGGGATGCAGGCTATCTCGCTGGTTTTTTGTTTTTGTTTTGTTTTGTTTGTGGAATAGTCACCACAGGTTTCAAATCAATGGTTCTTTACCCATGTTCAGGGTAAGATCTAGTTCACAGTGTCCATCCTTTTGCCTTGCCTGGGTTGCAATGAGTGAAAAGGAATTGCCTTGAGCCACACGTAAAACATATGATATAGTCAATGTATATAAGTAACAAAACTTGTTTTATATTTCTATATTTTTATTGAAGTATAAAAAATGTTGCCACAAGAATATAAAACTGGTGGGTTGAATGCATATGTCATATTAATGGGGTCAAAGCAGTCCCTTGGAGCACTGCTGTTGTTTGAGCAGGCTGTGGAGACTGGTCTTCTGGTTCACAGCAGCAATGGGTTGGACACTCATCTCATGGGTAACCTGTAAACCAATGGAGTTAAGAGCACAAAATCAGAGTTAGGAGCTCCTTCTTAAGGAATGTGTTCAGCACTTACATCTCTGTCCCCTCTCTCATTCCCACTCCTGAATGTGCAACCAGGGCCTCCCTCCCTGCTCCTCGTCAGAATGGAGCATAATCTGAAGAGACAAACCAGTTCACTGTTAATATCACATTCTAGCACCCTCTTTAGGGAAGCTCAAGTGCAATCTTTTAGGCAGATTATTGAAGCCTGCCTGTGGAAAGGTTTTTGGCATGGATGAGTTTTCACTCCAGTGGGTGTTGGAGAGTTTCAGATTTTTCCTGTGTAAAAGAACAGATGAATTAGCGAGCAGCTTGTAACTCTTACAGCTTTAGTTTTCCCTTGGCTGTCAGTGAATTCAAGAAAACAGCTGCTAGATTCCTGACAAGTGGTTCACATAGCTGATATAATTTAGTTTCTATGCCAAAAAACCCCTCTACTTTTCTATTTAATTGAATCACAGACTGGTTTTAAAGTTTTTATCAGCTGCAATGGGTAGGACGAGTTCTGTAAACATCATTTTCCAAGACTCTGTGTAATTTCCCTCACTGGTCTATTAAAATGCTGAAACAGATTTTCAAAGGATTTTTAAAACTTCTGCTAGGCTACTTTCCCTCTCCCCTATCTCCCTATCTTGCAAAAATGTTTGAAATAAATGGGCTGTTCTCAAAGATTAATAAAGTAAAGGCAGTTTGCTTTTGGGTCATCTGAATTCCTCTCAAAAAATACACTGCTGATTTCTTACCATTTTATAATTATAGGACCATGGAAGTAGCTTGGTCGCTATTTTTTTTTATATAAAATTTCAAGTTATTAGAACTTGTGCCACCTTACTATATACTTTGCTACATGTGATACCAGTTGTTTGAGGTATAAATTCCTGTTATTCATAACCAATATGCTCTTTTATCTTCCCCATAGCTTTGTCTTTGCTTCTGATGGCTTAGTTCCAGCTGACACTGTTGTTTTTCTTCATAGTGCCTGATATGATGCTATGTTTTGGTTTTAAGACAAAAACAATGCTGATAACACACCAATAGTTTAATTGTTGCTGAACAGTGCTGTACAGAGCCAAAGATGTTTAGTTTTTTCATTTTCTTGTACTGTCTTGCCAGTGAGGCACTAGGGGACCCCAAGGAGGTGTGAGGGACAGAATCAGTACATCTGATCTGAACTGGACAAAGGGATATTCCATACCATATGACATCGTGTGGAAGGAAAGTTTGAAAAAGATGGGAGTTCATCAGGCTTCCTGTCATTGGGGTCAGTGGGCTACCTCAACATCAGTCAGCAGGCAGTGAGCAATTGTCTGTGCATTGTTTGTTATATATATACATATATATATATATATATTTGTCATAACTATTATCCTTTTTTTTTTTTTTCCTCCCTTTTCCTTTTCTCTATCTTAGTAAATAGCTTTGATCTCAATCCACATGTTCTACTTGTTATTTTTTTTCTTTTGATTCTCTCTCTCTTTTCACTGTGAAGAGAGGAAGTGAATGAATGTCTGCCTGATGCTTAGCCACCTGCCAATTCAAACCAAAACAGCCCTTGATATTTTGCTTGGTCTTCAGCATTGGGACATAAGGGTGTATCAAAATGTGCATAATGCAGCTATATCAGGAGCTTCAGTAACCCTCAGCAAGTTTCTGCAGTGCAGTATGCAGTAGGCCTGTTGTTAGTAGACAAGTATGGCAGTAGCATTGGCAAAGAAAAAATAATGAGTGTAAATTTTCCCATTATTACCTCTAGAGGTATTTTATGTTCCTATTTGAAAAACAACTACTCTAAAGCACATTTTTTACCCCACCACCTTATCCTGCTGGACACCATTTAGATTGGCCTCAGAAAAAAAGAGTGAGAAGCAGTGTGTGAGAAGCTAAATCCATCTTAAGATTTTCCAGCTTCCCCACAGCAGCTCTGACAGATCTGCAGAGAATGGTGATGCATTCACAACTGGTGTTTCTGCAAAGCTGTGGTGCGTTTCTTTGTATTCAGAAAGCCCTAGTGTGTTCTTTGTGATTAATAGTTCAGCAGGACTTCTGGCAATTTTCTTCATTTTTTTTCTCTTCCTCTCCAATTTAACTGCTGTCTAGGAACATTTAGCAACATCTCTCTCCAATGACATTTTGCTGAAAGCACTGGGTGATTTGGAACAAAGCTTCCCGTTGAGAAGTTTATTGACGACTACAGCAGACGCAAGCTTCTCCTTCCCTCCCCCTCCCCCCTTTCTTTTTTTCTTATTAAACATAATTAATTCAGGTCACTGGTGAGCTTCTAATACTTGTCATAATCCCAGCCCTCCAAAAATTGAAGAGAGAATGATTAAGAAGTGGTTTGGATTAAATGTTAATCATTGTTTGGTTATTTATCCAATCTCCCAAAGAAATACTAAGAATTACTTCAAGGAAATGGGATTGCTGGATACAGAAATCCTTAAGCTAGCAGAAATGAGCATGAGGTTAGACCTGATCAAACCCATCTGAAGTACAGCCATGTGAGAAAACAGCAATCAGCTTTGCTCTATATTCATTTTCAAAGTTGCTGGCTAGCCCATATAAACTAACCTCCAAAAGAAATCTTGTAAAAGTTACTCAGCAGCCCTTGGCAGAACTGAATCAAGTGGACCCATTCAAGAATATGATCAATGGTACATAAGACAAGTTGGTTAACTTACCCAAAAATTTTTGACAGATTTTCAAGATAAGCCCGTCTTTCACACTGCTAAGAAGAAGTAATGCCTGCCTGTGCAAAGCAGAGCTGCTGAGCAGTCAGGAAAAGTAGAATGACACTTGATGATTCCTTCCTCTCTTCTCCTGATGTCAGTAATCCTGTAAATGTTGTCTGCTTTCAGGACTGAAGACTTCTTGGAAGACCACTTGGAGTATATACCCTAGGAAGCAAGCTTTCTTGCATTTCTGATTTGGGAAAGAAAATCAATGGGCTTCGCTTCAGTACTGATTTGATTTTTCACAGCTTGGACTTAGATGTGTTTTCTTACCTGGGAAAAAATACGTGCATTCCTATTGGTTATCTTATGATGAGAAACTTCCCAAAGGACCAATGGAACTCTGAAGCAAGTCCCAGCCGCCAAGCAAAACTCTTGCTGAGCCATTCTGCTCATTTTTGGATGTTTGTTTTTTAAAATAGTTACTTTTCTACAGGGAAAGAGGAAAATTGCCACAGGAACAAGTTGTCCCCACAGTAAACTTTTATTGTAGTGTAATGGTTTCCATCAATAAGGTAAAATAAAAAAGAAGGGAGTTAGAAGGGAGTTAATACTAATTCAAGAGTCATTAAAACTCAGGCATTGACATAGTTCCCTGTCACAACACTAATTTTAAAATATGGGCAGTAAAAATATATTGAGTTACTTCCCCTATTAAAGCAGGAAGTATCTAAGTGAGAGGAGTATGGGAAGATGTGTAATGCAGATCTCTAAACCAAACATAATTCATTTTGAAAGTTCTGTATAGAAACACCACTGCATTTATGTGTCAATGAGGAAAATGTGACCTAACAAAAAGTTTTAACATTATTTTAATCATTTAACATAGGGGCATTCTTCACCTTAGTGATTCATTTAGGTTAAGATCATGATTTCACTACACTGTTATCAACAGAAACTGGACTCTGATGCCTCAGCCCATCTAAAACAGACATGTTCCACATCAGAAGGATTAGCTAAGGGATTAGGGATCCAGTTTGAATGAAATGAACCTGCCTAGTGTTGGAGGCAAGGCTTTTTTTCTAATGGCTTCTGATGGTAGTCATTAGAAAGTGGTAGACTTCCTAAGAGGAAGAGAGTTGAAACCAAGTTAAGCTCACTTAGCTACAAAGACAGAGAGAGAAATCCATTCTCGAATAGTAAATGGATTGACCTTATAATGAAAATTTATACTTTCTGTTAACTTCCTCACTGAAAGAAATAATTTTCAGAATGAAATACATCTTTCAAATGTTTCAAAATATATTTTGTGACAGTACACAAATATCTCTGGAGGAGTACCTGTGGGATCAGAAGTCTGTGAACACAGGAAATCCATACCTGATTAAGAGAGATAGTATGTTCTTCATTCATTCATTCTCTTTCTGTTTGCAAGAGATTATTACTTATCATTCCTTTGTGATTGCATATGTCCTATTCTTACAAAGTGAGGTGCCAGGATCTCTGGCAGCATCAGAAGAAGAGTCAAGTCATGGAATGTGAGTCATGTCTGCACAGACAGATTACTCCGTGTTCTGGTTCTATCAAAGGATGCAAAATGATAAAATGGTATTACACTGAAAGGTCAATTCTTTCTCCTTCAGGAAGGAAATGTGGAATCTGATTAGCAGGTTAAAGTCACTTATGATAAAGGAAAAGAAATGTACTATTAGCTGGTGTAGTCACTCAAAATAATGTGAAAGGTTAAATGAAGGATTGCTCGGCAGCTGATAGATATTTAAGTTATCATACACAAAGCCATGTAGTAGTGGCTTTGTCCAGACAACAGTAGGAATATTGGCAAAATTCACTGACTATGGCACTTACACACTTCTTATTCATTCATCTGTAGTCCTGATGTGAGTTAGATATGTATCACACCTAATTCAATTAGCCAAAGGACTCACCATGCAGGGAACAAAGAGCATAACAGTAGTGTATGAAGAATTATTCAGTTGATTAGAAATGTTAGAAAAAAATGTTTCAGGTCTTCTAGCCCTAGCAGTCATAATTCTATATTCCAGATTGCTTCAGGATCATTAATGTAAGCTCTGGCTGTTTGCTGATAAATCTGTCTGAAATGAAATCCTAGGTTACTTCACTAGTAGTGTCCTTTTTACAGCCCCTAAACATAGCTGAAAAGAGCCTGTCACAAATATTTCACATTCATCTTCCATTAGGGCTGTAGAAAATCACGTTGTTTTTTTTTTTTTTTTGGCCATTAAACATGTAAACAGTACTAAGTATGAAAAATGACAGGTAGGGTGAGGGTTGGAGGGAGCAGAGGGCAAAGGATTTTCATAGTGCAGAGCAGTAGACAGGATGGGTTAAAATAGGAGTCTTACAAGAAAGTGCAGGCAATGATTTTTTCCACAGTGCTTGTTCTGTGGAGAGCTATGAGATATCAGTACTGAAAACTCTGAACTTCCTCTAGTATTGGAAACACAGTGTATTTAATTGCAACAAAATGAACTTCTGTGGAAAAGAAATGGTGATTAAATGGTCCTAGTGCAAGGAATCAGCTATATGCATGGTTCAGACTGCTGTGCCCTCTCTACATAGAGAAATGATATTGGATGTTTTATATCTAGCTCAAGGGTTTAGAACACTTTTCAATTCAAAAGTTCAACACTTGAGTATTATTGGATTACCTGTGCATTCAGGCTCATTTGTGGAAAAAAAAGAGAGCAGGCAACATTCATAAAAAGACCAAAAATGTCATGAAGATTTGAGACAAAGTAAACAGGCACAAGGAGACTGTTCCTATTGTTTAGTGCCTGTGTGTGTTAAAGAACAAATTCCTTTTTTCTTCATCCCACTCCTGTTGCAGTTAGAAGGCCCTTTTACTCACAGCTTTTCATGCACACTGATCACCAAGATTGCCAGAGAGGAAAATCTCCATGAAGATCCCTGTCACCTTCAAGAGATTAAGAAACACAAATACCATTTATTGTTGCATGTCTCAGGACCTAAACTGCAGATGTATTTGTAGGCACAGAAAAGACATAATACTTTACCACAGTGTATTTTGCAGCAACTAATCATAGAATCATAGAATCGTTGGAGTTGGAAGGGACCTTTAAAGGTTATCTAGTCCAACTCCTCTGCAGTGACCAGGGAAATCTACAGCTAGATCAGACTGTTCAAGCCCCATCCAGCTTGACCTTGAATGTCTCCAGGGACGGGGCTTTCACCACCTCACTGGGCAACCTGTTCCAGTGCCTCCTTATTGTAAAATACTTCTTCCTTATATCCAATCTAAATCTCCCCTCTTAAACCACTTCCCCATTGTCTATCACAACAGACCCTGCCCAAAAGTCTGACTCTTTCTTTCTTATCACCTCATTTTAGATGATCTATCTACTGAATTAGCCTTCTCTATGCAGATCTGGTGTCCTCTACATTTTTCCTATGTATCTCTTATGTCTGGACGTAGGACATCAGATCAGCTGCTCCAGTGTCATATAAGTTACTTTATAACACCTAGGGATGGCAACAGGGAACATCAGTTGCCACTTTGCATGGGAAAAAACTCAGAACTGTGACAAAAGTTAAATTCTTAATATTTCATTTCTCACATATGCAGGATTTACGCAGTAGTCAAAGAAGTGATGGATGAGAAGGTTTTCTTATACCAATCAAGAGAAAGGCTGTTTGACACACCACTTTTTGAACAAGTTTGCAGGAGGCGATACTCACTGATTTCCTGTTGTTTGTCGGGGCAGAGGTGCCATTCTTAACATATAGTCTGCCTCATGTTCCTTTCTCCCTGGTGCATGGTCAGACAGCTGGGAAATTAAGATAAAAAAAGTTGAAAATGGTAATTATTATAGAAAGAACCTCTTAGAAAAATGGAAAACATCTATCCTTGTGACAGTTCATTATGAGACTTACTACCACTTAGAAGCTGTAAAAATTTTCACAGTTTCATACAAAACAGGAAGATAGATTGCAAGGACAACTAGAATCCAGAAAAAGAATGCACATTGCAATGCAATATCTCTAACTGTGGATTTTATGCCAGAAAATACCACAGTTTCCATTTAACTATAATTTCAAATGCAAATATTGTTCTTAGAATGAAGCAGATGTTGGGCTTTTTTTTTCTTTTTTTCTTTTTTCCTTTTTTTTTTTCTTTTTTCCCCCAGTGGAATGAGCAGTTGTTAATCTATGAATCTTTGTGTTCTGTGGAAACATTTGAATGCCTTAGTGAATAAGCTTCAGTGGTAGTCAGGATTTGCAACACATTTCCAGGCAGGCTATTATTAGTTCCATGTTTGGAATAATTATCGAGAAGTAGTAGACTGTTACTATGATAATTCCAGATTAGGATGAAGTTGGAGGAGTTTTATTTATTGTTCTGCTAGAAGATTTTGCTACACTGGACTGTAAATTGTTACACCAGTGAATAGGGGACAGATGCTCCTACACATAAATTGTAAGTTACTTTGACAACTAGAGAGAAAATTAAATCCTCTGGGGTGAAGATCCTAGTTTATCAATCCAACAGTAAAGGTAGCTGCACCTGGCTTGGTTTCAGGTGTCACTGGAGAAAACAGTGCACAGACAAGAGAATATCCTACTCTCCTCTGGATCTAGGCTGTGTCTCCCTTCCTTACTCACCCCACAGTACATATTCTTATATCATATATAAGTATACATTCTAAACTATCACAACTTTGTTTTCTCTCCTCCCTCTCTCCATAGCACATACGTGCAGAAACAGGCTGTGCCCCCACCAACCTGACCTTCCCATCAGTGGGGCTGGGGTGGTGATAACAACAAACTTTATGAGAACACTGACTGAAAATACCAAGAACATGACTAATACAGAGGGCTTGACATCCTGTCCCAATTTGGTCTTTGGCATTTAGTCAGCTGTCTTTGTGTATATGCATCATAACGTTGCCTTATTTGATAAATGTATTTCAAAGCATGATGCATTCAGAAGGTGACTGTGCTGCTGCAGCCAGCCCTTATGGGGTGGACACTGCTGAGCTAGGTTCTGGAAGCTGACACCAGTACTGTTCTCTGATTGGCACAGCAGGAACAGGGATGTGCCCTCCAGGTGGCCTGGAGCTGCTGAAGCAGGTCTCATGGCCTGGAATGGAGAAGGCACTAAGAGGAAAGGAGTGCAGGGACTAGAGCACGAGCAAAGAGGAGAGCATTTCATTAAGCACATGCAAAGAGTTGCTTCTAAATGCTTAGGGACCAAACATGAAGAGAGACAGTGTCCTGTAGAAACATGGGTGTTTCAGAGATCTTTTGGGCTGGGCACAGGAGGAGCAGAACCTCTTGCCAAAGAAGCACAGCACACACCAGTGCAGTTGCACAGCTCCATTCAGCACCTTAATCTGCCCCTGAACAAAAACAATTTTGTTGTGTTAATTAGAACTGGGAATCAGCCTTTGATGTTAGACTAATAAAACTGCATTTTCCCACCCTTGATTTTCATCATTTAGAGAAGCAACATAAGAAAAAAATTGGCTTGACTTCCTTCTGGCCAAATGCTCCCCTGAAATAAATTGGCACAGCTTCACATGAACCAATGATTCTTTGTCTGTTTGAACTATCACAGAAATTGGATCAGTAGGTTTTATGAGATTTCAAAGGGAAGTAAAGGTTATTTATGATAATGAAGACATATATAATAAAAAATCAAAACACCAATTTATGCATAAGGGAAAAGCTGTATTGTAAAATGGTGTTTAGAAACATAAAATGCCATGCAAAATCCTGTTAAATGAAAAGAAAGGACACATTATTCATCTGTATTTATAGATACAGAGTGCTGACCAAATGTACATTTTATGTCTTTTTTAATACAGTGCATAAATTATATTTGGATTATCTGTCATAATGGAATTTCATTCCATAAAATGAAATGAAATAAAATAGTTTGTACTCTTTTGCTTTGCTATTCAGACTGAGTATTTGTTCCTGATTATTAAATAAGAGAATTTAGACCTTAAGCAGAGTCCTTTTCATTTCAGTAAAGTGGCAATAACATTGGCTTGGGTCTGGGGACAGTGGTTGAACTCCAGATTCCAACATTGTTCTAAACTATATATACTAGGTGTGAAATCTGGATCACGTGTAGGTCTCAAACATTCAAATAAATGCATTTCCTTTGCAGAATTAGACGCTGAGCAACGTGATATTTATGTCCCTTTGTAGCATGACTAGGAGTTGTAGAGTGAAAATCAATCTTCACATATCATGTTTGCATCACTGGGTAATCCAAAGGAGAAACCATGGTCATTTCTTTGATCAAGGCATTTTCTCTTTGTTTTGGCTCTTGGTAATACCACTAGAAATTTCCAAAGAAGACAATTTTGCAGTGGGACATTAAGTCAGAGGCTGTCTGTTTTTCCTGATTGTATCAGAAAGTGGAACAGAATACTCTTGGCCATTAGTGTTCATTAGTGTAACAAAAATTACTAGTGTGGTTAATGTCTGTTTTGCATGGTGAGACTGTGCTGTGGTTTTGTTTTTTATTCTTCTCTATTTTGTCACAGCACTGACTGGTGTGATACATGGATAAAATTAGAAAGGAAAAACAAACAAAAAAAAGCAAAACAAAACAAAAACCCTCAAAATAACCCTCAAGGAACTAGAGTTGATGACTTTCGTGCAAAACTATTTCCTCTGTTCACAAAGTTTAACCAAGTCAGGATTATTTTTAACATTGTTCCTGTACACTGCTGGTCTCTATATATCTCATATTTTTAAACTAAGTATTTTAATTTTATAGAAGACAAAACACAATTGTGGCCTTGAAGGCACTATGGGGCAAAAAATTTCACTGTGTTTTGGTAACAGGCTATTAACCAATACTGTTGGAGATTTAGCTGCCTTTTCCTGCCCAACTTATTGTCCAGCCCCATCTTGAGCTAACACTTGCCTGGTTTCATGACTCTAGAAAAGATGAACACCTTACCTTTTCCCTGTAGTTGGTACAGTGCATCCTGCCACTGTCCTACCTGTGTTTGAGGCACAAATACCTGAAGTTCCACACTCAACCATTGCATTATGTTCTTTAAGGAATGGTGCTTTCCAAATCAAACATTGCTGACTTTTGTTACAATCCAAACGTTGATTTCATTGTTTGCACACCTACTAGCATGACAACTCTACTCTATATGTTGTTTTCAATTTTATTGCAATTTGGAGCTGGCTCTGAAGATTTCCCATCTGGATTTCTACATCGAGGTCTTCTAAAACACTGAGACTACTTGACAGCTATTTTGCTTTTCACAAAATCCACTAATAATGAATAGCCCTTCATTATTTATCACAAAATGATTTATTTTTGTGATCTTTACATCATGATATAGTATCAGTGCTTATTCTGTTAAACTTCATTTGAATAATATATTGTTTCTGAAGACTCATATGTACCTCATTTCTTTTCTTCCTCTCAGGGGTAATGCCCAGATTTTTTTATATCTGTCATCTTAATAATTGTTTTTGGATCGCAAGATACTTTTAATTTGACTTTTTTTTTTTTTTTTTTTTTTTTTTTTTTTTTTTTCCACTGGACCAATATTGCCCAATCTTAATCTCTTGAATTTATCCAGAATCACTATTTATTTTTTCCCCTAATTTCCCCCCCCCCCCCCTTTTTTTTTTCAGCTATTGATTGCTTCTCCTATATTGCAAAATTACTCTTGATTTATTCCTGGTGCTAAATTGAGCAGAGTTGGCAGCTATTGCACTCAATGAAATTTTATCTCTTTTGCATGAACCCCACACCAAACTTTTGTCTTGCAGAAATAATATCATTCAGAAGGTTCCATCTTTTGTGCTGGGGATGGTGGTGCTGCACTGTGCTCTTGCCATCCTTTTTTGTTTCCCAGATGTTTTCACTCAACGTTTTCAGCAAGATCTGCCACTCAGCCTTCCCAGACCTGGTTCAGTGAGACTGTTTCCCCTGAAGGTTACTGCACTGGCCTCTCCACCTGCTGGGCTCTCCTGGTCTCAGCATGCTCAGCAGCCTCCTGTACAGGGACTTTGTAAGTAGACACACATTCCTTCAGCTGCCAAATCTCATCCTCCTATTTTGTAATTGCCTCCTTCTCCTCTGAGAGAGTAGTTATTAGCTGCCACACAAATAGCTGTACTGAGCACAGTGAGTTTTCTGCTTCTTTGTTTCTCTTTGGCTAATTCAGAACATAGTTTCCCTCATAATTGTGTACCAGTCCTAACCGGTCTTCATCTCAAGGACTGGGATAATGGATTTTCACAGCTACTTCATACCATGATTGGGATTAGGGGGAAGTCAGGATTGACACTCTATTTCTTCCTGCCTAAACCTTTTACCCACTACAATTCTGCTAAAGCATCAGAAGCACCCATAACATGCGTAAGCTATGGACATATATTTATTTTTTCCAAATTAATGACCCAGAAGCTAGAAAGTTGACTACCCAAACTTAGGTTGAGTTACTTCAACAGACTGCCTATGTTCTTCACCACAACTGTGTCATGGAGAAAAGTCTGCACAGTTTGCATAACTGAACAAAAACAAAAACAGGACTGAGGTTGCTTATTGATTTATAATTCATATTATTCATAATTCACTAGCAACCAGTGATTTGCAATTTGTGAAATGCTAATAAAGACCCACAACTTTCAAAACATCCCTCTACAGCCAGTCACAAAAACCTCTGATCTCTCATCTGCGCACATGTTCACACTGTTTTAGGTTCACAGCCACACCTGCACACATCAACACCCACAGCAGATGTGGGACACAGGCCCCATCCTCATTCTGGGGGTGATAGAATGCCCCATTAATCACCCCCACAGCTGAGGAAGTTTCTTCAGCCCTGTGTGTGTCCTTGCTGCTACCCAAATCCTGTCAACAAATGCAGGGCTGGTGACTGAAAGCATTTTTACATAAAGAAAAAAAAATTGCTTGCAACCTCCTCTTTAATGATACAAGCCCTAGACAGTTGCAAGCATGTATGTACATTCCTACAGTCTTAGGTCTACTGTGTGTCTGACGTGGCTCTAATACACAGGTGTAAAACTGAATTTGGTCCTTTGATGCCAAGAAGTATTGTCATTGTCATTGTTGCTCATCAGACCACTTGTGAACAGTTTCTATTCTGTATTTCAAAAGAGTGTTCCATTATAATTACCTGGTACTTAGCAGAGAAGGAATCTAGTTAGTTGCTTCAAGACTTCTTCCACAACCACTGGTAAAAACAATTCTTCTTCCTCTTTTCTTTTGGTAACAAGAAAGTCACTGTATTAAGTCTGGAAAAGTAGGGATGAATGTTGAATATCCGCCTAATCTGCAATCCTTGCTGAAGTAGAAAATCTCAACAGGATAGACAGTTCTGCTGGAGATAAAACACAAATAACTAAAGTCGTCAGCTGTCAATCTGACAAGCAATAATTTCTCTTATCCTGGACACTGGTTTATTTCTTTTGGTAGCAGAAATCATTTTCATTTTATCTAATTGCTCACGTCTGATTATGTTGCTGTAACATCTGTTTGATTATTGCATTTAAGAATCTAGCTTGAAATATTAACTGTGACAGACTTCATACTCTCACATGCTTTTTGCTTGGTAAACCAGTAAAGCCAAAATAAAAGGCTCTTTGACAGATACAGAGAATGGTTTCTTCCCACCATTATTTATTTGTTTATTTATCTTAGGAAAATTGCCCACAATTATTTGCTGCTAGCTAACACATCATTGTGATAACCTTAAAAGGCGAGTTCTCTCATCATCACAAACATGAAGCACAATTTTTAAAAGTTTTCTCAGAGACCTGGAGCTCCAATACTTCATATATTCAATATCATCATCTCCACTGGGAATCCAGTACTGAAGGCATCTGTACGCCGAGGAACAGAAGAGAGCTTTGCTTCAGGCTGTAATTTGGTATTTCTTGGCAAGAAGGTGGCAATTTCATTTTTTATTAGCTGAAAACTGAAGTTATTTTCATGGAGAATAAAAACTATTTTGTTTTACTTCAAGTTAAAATTGTTGGAAATATACTAAAGAAAGAATGAATATGGATTGAAACCCCAACTCCTCCACTGAAAAATATGCACATGCTGTTGTACAGTCCTGTGGATCAGGATATAACTTGGGAATCCAGTTCAGCTCTGTACTCTGCTTGATCCAGGCAAAATAGTTTGAATTTGGATCTTCATTTAGTACCTGAAGTATCTCACTATAAAACATGAACTTTTTCTCTCAAATTTTAGTGTCATACTAAAAAAAACCCTCTGATCTACATACTATTATATAAATTAAGAAGACATATAGGATGGACACTTTTTGGTGTGGATGGTTTCATTAAACAGCATAAGGCAAAAGTTTTGGAAAAAAAATCCAATGACTTATTTTTTTAAAGGTGATGTTAAACGTTCTAGTATCACTAAGAGGTGTTGCCACGTGGACTCTGCTATTTCTAAGGCAATTTTTTCATGCTTTTTACTCCTTATGTGACAGACAAATCCAAAATTTTATTAGTATGGAAAGATTTTTCCTCCTAATTGATATTTAATGCTCTACACTTTTTAATCTCTCCTTGCAAGGCAGTTGCTCCGTTCTCTTGATCATTTTGCTGTCCTTCCCACACCTTTTCTAACTCTTTTGTGTCCTAGTATCTTTGTAGTACTCAAGAACAGGTGCCCAGGGCTGTACTTCTATTGGCAGAATAATGGCAATGTGATGTCCCCCCCCCCTTTTTTTTTTTTTCCTCTTAAGGATGCTCAGAGTTACGTTCACTTTTTGGTTGCCATTACACCGTAAGATGAGGATTTCAGAGAACCATTGATGACAGCTCCAAGAGCCTGAGGTGTCACCACCAGTACTAAGTTCAGCCCCAGGTCAGCAGATTTCAAATTATTTTCTCTTTGTCTCTCCTTTGGCAGCACTGAAGCTCATCTGCCACTCTTTTACTGATAGAATCAATCTCTTATGAAGATGATTTTCTGAAGTTCTTTTGAAGGAATACGATTGCTTGATAGATATCAGCATTATCTATAAACTTGAGATTTCACAGTTGGTTTATTTTCCAAGTCATCAGGGATGTTATTGAATAAAACCACTTGCAGCACTGATTATTCCCCATCATGAAAGAAGATCATTAAGACTAATTTTTTGTTTCCCAATCATTAATAATCTTCAGCCAATAAAACAGTCTTCAAGTTCCATGGCAATTTTGTTTCTTTAAAAAATCTTCAATAAAATCATGTGTTTAAAGGCTTCTTGAAATGACCAATATGATATATTAACTCCACCAGACCAACTCTTGCCAGGGAGGAGGAGGATGAGAATATCACCTCAGACCATAATAGCATTCTTCCGGAACTCCCATGGGTCATCAAGGCAGCATTTCCCTCCACAGAAGCCTTGCAGCCTCTTTCCCAATTTACCACACTTATTGATAACTTCTTCAGGATAAACTTCATCTTCACATCGCAGATCAGGAAATCAGGTTTATGTGGGACACCCAGCTTTTGGATATCAAGTTTAATTCTTGACTTTCAAAATTCTCATGACATAACTGTCAATTTGAATTCAGACTACTCTAATGCACCTTTATCAGTATGACAAACTAGAACAAATTTTTCCTAAATAAAGGAAAAATGCAACCCCCCTGAGCATCTTCCAGAGACAGTATGACATGCCCAGAAGACAATTTCTCAAGCTGTGCTTGAAGTTTAGTCTTTTTCCTCCCTCTCATTGCTGATGTCATTCCTTTTGATTTAAGGTTGCTAGAACTGCAATACTATTTCTTTTATCTGATCATTTTAGGATTATCTTTCTTATGCTTTCTCATGCTTGTTTTTTAGGAAGTATGGCCTTAACTGTTTTCAAGTCGCTCTCACAGTAGAGTCAGTCCTTCCAGAATTTCATAATTAGCCTCAGAGTATAGGTAGGGGCTACAACTCAAGTGAAATAACTTGCCGTAGGGCCTGCTTAAACTAAGCTACAAATAATGTCCAGAATTCCAAATGTTGGGAAAAGAATCAAGATTGTTTTTCTCATTTTGACACTAGAAAAAAGATGTCAATCTGCAGATTCTGGACATTAACACTCCTAATATTTGACTCACTGTCTCTGTGTCTGTGAAATCTATTTTTAATGCATCTTCCCCGCCAAGCACTCCTAGAACAATGGCCAAGGTTACAGCTTTGTCATCCTGCATTTTTGAATATTATAAAAACTATCCATATCCAGGCTGACCCTCATATCATCCTCTACATAGTTTTTCATTCTTGCCCAACTATATTTCCTATTATATCACAAAACCAAAAGTGAATGCAGAGACTCGGATATAGAGCAAAATATATCAGAAATTTGAGAGTCACTTGAAAGTGATGAAAACTCGTGGCAGTACAGTAACTGAGCAAGTCATGCTTACAGTCATAGAGTCCCAAGGCTCATATTAAGGCATATTTAGGCAAAAAAAAGATCTCCTTTTTCTCACCCTTGGATGTATAGATCAAACCATTTTCAAGGCTTGGGCGGCAGACGCCTGATGAATGACTGTTTCTGGTTTCTAACTATGTATTCTTGCTTGTTAAATACCAGGCTTCTTACTAATAGCTTTTCCATAATCTTTCAGATTGCATTAACTTTTCTTTTTTGTCTGTTTTCCCATTTGAGAGATTTAGTTTCAGATATATTTATAACATACTAAGGTGTGCTTTCTTGCATCAAAGAATGAATTGATTTATAATCAATAACTCTATTTTACAGCTTTTCCTCCTAAGTGTAGCAACTTTGAGATAATCGAGGTCTTTGGAAAGCACCTGCCTTGCTGCTCTCTGCTTATTTTCATTCCAACTTTCTTTCTCACAAAATCTTTTACTTTCAAGCTGATTTGTAATTCATTTGCAACTCCAAAATTATGATATATAAAAGCTTGGAACATAAAGAAAACCTCATTGTAAAAATACCTGAGGCAACAAAAGGTAATGTAGTGTTACATCCTGGTAATCCACACATTCTTTCTTCTTCTGCAATAAAGCTAATGGGCAAGAGTTACATTACTATACTGCATCGGAGAGATGGTGTATAAGAAGATAGAAAGCTCCAAAGAGAATGGAGTGAAATCTGAGTTTCAGGGAAAAACAGTTTCAGTTAGCATCAAATACTGCAGACAGCCACAGGCACAAATGTGCATTTTATTTTTTTTTTTTTTTCCTTTTTCTTTCTGGACTGCCAAGAAAATATTATTATCCACCCCTAGTTCAGTGCCTGTTTTATTGATTGTATTGTTCCAGTAAAGCATTTTATAGATTTTACACAGCAAAGGCAAAGTATTACCATTAAGAAAGTCTCCTCCTGAACAACAATATCTGTTATTCTGACTGTTGGGCACACTGAGAGAGCCAAAATAAGGAATGACAAAAAAGTGACAAATAATCTTCTGGGGGAAAAAAAAAAAAGGAAAATCTTTCTTTAACCCAAACCAGAGTAATTATGTGTGATATATACCCAAAAATTCTACAGCAGAGCATTGCTTAACTTGATATAACTTGTAACTTGTTAACTTGCACCTGAAGTGGGTTACTCTGTGACCTTGCGCAATTGCACATATTTCCTTAGGCTAGATTATATTTCCATATAATTGAAATAAAAATTAATGTAGTGAATCTCTTTAATTTAACCGTCATTCTCCTATCACTTAGAATTTGATGTATCATTTTAGCTTTAGAGATCTGGCAACGAGACACAAACCTCCCTAAAAATGTCCAAAGTGAAAAATAATAGAAGAAAGGATGAACCTTCTCAAACAAGTGTTTGTGTCATAAGAATACTTTATAAGTCTTGGGGATAAAAAAAAAAAATTCCTGCTCTCATATATTAAAACAGCTCACAGGCAGTATTGCTATTACCTTGATTGTCATATATACAATTTGCTGATGTTAGTCCCATTTACAGGATTGTGTTGTCAAACGGATGACCGATGTCTGGAAAAAAAAAAAAAAGGGAAAAGGAGAAGAATTTGGTTCTAGGCTAAATGCAACTTCTTTTCTTTTCTGCCTTGCCAAGAGATATTAACATACTTTTTACCAAAGTTATTTTCTCACTAGGTATATAGTGGATATGCAAGAGATATTTCACAGTGATTTTTTTTGTTGAAATTGTAACAGAAACAGCAGGCAAAATTCATGAAGGAGGCAAGGGACAGGCTAGGCACCAAAACTGACCATTGAGTGCAATTCTGCTCAGCAGCTTATTATAGCATAATGAAAACCTGAAATTCTTATGGACTGTTAGACTTACCTGCTACTCATGGAAATCCATGCAGAGATCAATTAAGAACACGCTTGGTCACATCCCATCTGGTTTCTCCATTCTATGCATCTGCTTTCTCTATTCCATACATCTGCTGAGACTAAGTGCAGTAAAGATCAACTTCGGAGAATAGTGAGAAACTAATTTAATACAAATCTAGTGCGTTTTTACTGTATTTGGGTCTTTGATTCTCACCACTGTTTTATCCAAGCAGTACAACACCTCTGTCCTCACAAAACATCTGTATTTTCAGTTCTTCTTTTCTACCTCCTATTCAAGCATGAAAAAAATCAACAGTTTGCAAACTTAAAGGGTAACTTCCTCCTGAATCCTAATAGTATGCACATTACTGGAGAAAAGGTCATACAAAACCTATAGCCTCTTTCATTATAAAACCTACATAAGGCCAGGCAATATGGTGGCAATTTTTTTTTTTTTTTTTTTTTTTTTACTTTTCCCACAAGCACACCTTCGGAGGATTGGGCAGGCAGCTAACACCAGCTTTGTCTTTTCTCACTCCCTAGGTTTTGCCAACCAGGCAAACAACATACATCTCCCTAGATGTATAGATAGAATAGATGTAATGTACATTACATTGTATACGAACAAGGTACACCCAAGAACAAGGCAACTTCATTTGAGTGAGTTAAGGCTAGGAAAATAAACAAGTCTTTTATTCCCAAGGTAATTAAAGAGCTGTGCAGCAATTGAACTCAGCTCCTCAGGTCAAGGTATTGGGCTGTTACTCAGAGCATCACAGCTAGGTATGGGCAAAAACAAAAGATAAGCAAAGGAAATAATGTCCCTTGCAGGTCAGTAGATTCAAGTGCCTCTCAGAGAAGCCTAGTCTGAGTGACCAGGAGTTCTGATATGCAATATATCATAATTATGTAAAATTTGGAAGGTAGGTGTGCTAACCTACATTAAAACAAATGTAGGTAAGTATGGCACTGCAGTGCTGCTCTGTTAGCTGCATTCTCATCTCCATACCTAGAGTAGAGTAGAGGGACAGAGCACTGCAATTTACAGGTTGAAGTCTGTGGACAAGTTTAGAACTGGAAATCACAGAAGAAATTCTGTAAATCTCATGCATCATCTTAAAATGAATTGCAGTCCAAAAAAATAAACATTGCAAGCTATGTGAATTAACTAAAAGACACTATGGCATCTGTTGAGTCCTACAAAGAATCTCAGTGTCACAGATGATTCTCTCTAATAACCAAAAGGAGGAAGAAAAACTCTTAAAACCTTCAAGATCATTCCTGCATATATGTGACCCACACAAATCCACCTAGACATGATTTAATCAACAGAGAAAGAGAGAGATAGATCTGACATTGGAGAGTCCCCTTCCCCTTCATGTTCATGTAGCAATTAGAAGTGCTTGATCACTATCTGAGAAGCGTACATGATCATTATGGTCTTTTTAGATGAGTAATATTTGAGTTACTGGCTGAATGATAAAAGAAATGTTAGCCAGTGCATTCATGGAAAAACAGAAATTTTTCTCCATATACATTATTCAAGGAGTGATTTTTCAGCCAATGTTAAAGGTGATATTGAGAAAAGTACAAGACAAAATATTGCTCATTATTGAGATATATTCTGGTATTTCTGCTGTTTTACAAATTTGTCACTCTGCAGCAAATTTGAAAAGTTCTGTGAACTTGGCCTCAGGCTGTCAAACTTTGCTCTTTCAAAGCTGCTCATTTTTCTAATCTGAAGACGGTTTTATAATTCAAAAAATGCCAAGAATATTACCATTCCAAAAGAGTATTTGCACACTAGCTGCAGAAATACTGTGGATTTTATTCATTTCTGACAGTACTTTCAGTGTCAGGTAACAAAACAAACAAACAGCTTGTGTTCAACCTGGTGTAAATGTCAGAGCAAAAGTCAAGAAATATTTTGATTTTATGAACATGCCCCATACCTTATAGATATTTTATTTCTTTGCTCATTTTTTTTCCCTCTCTTTTTTAACACTGTGTTGTGGATTATATTTTTAGTCAATTCTATGAGCTGTTTCCATCCGAGAACCTGATTCTTGAAAGTTATAAGCTGACAACATTTGGTGGCATTTGGGTATGACAAAACCTCCCCATTATATGAGTTGGAACATCTCCAGTTACTGATATCAATATTTTCCTCATTGAGTTGCTGGCACAGCCAGCTCCAGGCTGGCATTATGCTTCTTGATGAAGTGAGAACCATAGATCTAAGACACCCTTCTTATAAGAAAAGTGGTAGAACAGAGATGGAAAAGCAGTGGGTGGTCTTGTTGCTCTGATCATGCTTGGGGACACAGCAGACTTAGGGACAACGGACAGTAGATGGAATGGCCCTCCCCTGTCAAGTGCTAATGACACCTACACTGATTTAGAAGAACGTACCAAAACAAAATGAGCATTCTAGATTTTAAATGAAATAGATGGCAGAATCACAGATGATGATTACTACTCTTCAGTGCTCAGGCTGAAATACCTGATCTGAAAGAAATTCTTTTTTTCTGAGACTTCTCTGCCTTTGATAGCTACAAACCATCATGGATAGTTTTGATCTTCTTCCTTGAGTCTATAAGCATTTTCTACAATACCATCTATTTCTGGTAGCCTTTGTTCCTTGATATAGTATCAGCTATCTTGAGTGCTACTGATGCTAGCCTATGCTAGCAAACCTTAAAGACTGCTCTTTGAAAATATAATCAAAGTGATCAACTGTAAACAAGTGACTGAGGAGGATACAAACATTGAAAATAAGCGCTCAGCAAATAATATACTTCTCTTCGACAAATTATTTAGCATGCTTGTCTGAGTACTCATCAGCTTGTCTTAAGTTAGTAATTTCCTTATACTAAGCTTCATTTCCTTTATGCTGAACTGATAGCTGATACTGAACGAAGAACTTCTCTCCAAGTTCTGAGGCTTTTCACAAGGCTACTTATAAATATTGAGTTGTTATAGGAAGCATTCTTTAGATGACTGAGGGTGTGGAGAAATTCTTCTGTGCACCTGTTGTTTCCTTTTGGAGATACCTCGAAACAACAAACCTGACTACCCTTTCTTCATTTTGCTTGCACTGGCTCTTTGTTAACTGCAAATTATCATGCAATTCAGCCAGATCTCTTCATTAACTTGCAATTGTTAGGTTGCTCTAGTCAGAGAAACATTTTCTTGTAAACCAACATTATTCTTCTTCTACTATTGATTTCAGTCACAAAATTTTAACCAAATGCAGATTAAAAAAATATTCCATGGCTTTTAATATATTCAATCATTTCTTAGTATATAATTAATACCAAAGTCATATGTTGACAGAAATTCCCTCTTATCAGTATTAAGAGGACATGGGTATATTATAGTCTACATTATGTGTAATAGTTTTGCCAGACACATCCAGAACTGTAAATCATTGATTTGATGATATGATAATTTGGAGTTTATATTTAATATATGTTCAGATGCAGGCTTATATAAATCTATCAGCTTTGATAAATTTGTGATATCTTAAATCCCAGCTGGTTTTGCCTCATGTAATCAGTTAAAACATTTTTTTGCTGACGCCATAAAATACATCATGGCCCATAAACAGGCCATATCAAATTTATAGCTGAATTGTAGTACCTTTTTAGTTTTGATTTTACTGATGTTCTTTGAATAAATTAAGACAACACAATATTCACAACGTTCCCCAAATTTTACAATACCTTATGCAAATTTACAATAATTCTCAAAGCACTTTTCACAGAAGTATAAATGTTAGAACTATTGAAAATGTGTGACGTTCATATTCACTGTTTTCCTATTAGATATGAATATTGATTATTTAGCACAATATTTCATTCATTGATCTTGGAGAATCACTGTGTACACCACTGGGCTATAAACCAAGTTCAGTTCAACAATACTTTGCACTTGTTTTGAAATGTCAGCTTCTTCAGTGACACTAGAGAATGAAAATGTTCATATTTAAAAGGAACTTTGGCTTACATGAAAAATAAAGCAAATGTAAGACAAAAATTAAATAAACATGTGAGTTTGCATACACAGCTACTATCTCTAAAATTCTCATTCATGAAATTTGAGTGCAATATATGAGGTAAGCCACAGAACACGTATTCGTAGTAAAGCTGCATTTTCACTAAATTTGTATACATTTAATAACATTTTGTAAAAATCATTTGTTTCACACACACACACACACACACAAAACAACAATACTCTTCCTTCAGTACTCAATTTCATTAGCATGGTATGCTCTATGCATCTTTAAAAATGACCATTTCTGAAACATCTTCACAATTGCTTTCATTTCTCTTCACTTAATCTAGTAAACAACTTTGTATCATCATTATGTATACAAGTGACAGTTCACCACTGTTCAAAAATTATTTGAAGATTGTTAAAAATAATGGATAATATAGGAGACTTATCTTGAGAATTGACTTGCTGCTTTCTTGGGTCAGTAAATTTTTTTTTTTTTTTTTATATATTTATGACTTCTCATGAAGAATTTTCTTATTCAGGCAATAAAAACGGGTTTAAATTTTTTCATTAGCTCCTCCACTGACACAGGCAAAATATGTTATGTACCTTCAGTGGCAAATTTATATAAATAAATGTGAAAGTTTGACAATGTGGAAAAAAAAAAGCAACGAAGAATGAGGCTACTGTATTTCTTACTACAACTACAGTATGCTAGCATTATGTGGAGTGGAAGGAAGGTGTCTGAAGTGAAATGCAGGACCAACAACCAGAATTAGTTCATGGAATTGTGTTATTTGAAGGTGTGTAATGTTTTTTTCCCAGGCCCATGCAAGGTGGAAACAAAGCATTTCCAAAACAGGGCAAGACTGTGGCTCACAGGAAAAAAGTGGAGGATTGAGCACTGGAATAGGCTGCCCAGGGAGGCTGTGGAGTCTCCTTCTCTAGAGATATTCAAGACCTGCCTGGACACCTACTTGTGCAACGTGGGTAGAGAACCTGCTTTGGCAGGGGGGTTGGACTCAACAATCTCTGGAGATCCCTTCCAACCCCTGCAATTCTGTGATTTGCAAAACATCTGAGTGCCATAGAACTTACTGTCCTTTCTTGTCCAGAGATGCCTGGGGATGCATCTCGCTCTTTACTCCTCAAAGATGGATCTGAATGGGTCTATCCATCTGTTGAGAAAGATCCTTGTACTTAAGTGTCAAATATGCTTACACCTCTGAAAAATTCAAGATATTAAATGGGTTCAATCAAGCCAATGTACCAAAGCATAAGTTCTTACTAGTTTGTATGCCATCCATACAATACCCTTTTTGACATTTCAGATACTCAGTGTACTTTTATAAATAAAGTTATCACAGAAAGCACTGGAACAAC